GAGAGTGATGATAGTTTTTATTCGAAGCAGCACTGTGCTGTTGCTGGCTGCAGCTCCAGTATTTTGGAAGAAACGTCAGGCTATGAAGTTCACCAGACCATGAAAGAGAAGATAAGCAAGTTCAATTTAAATTTATACAGCCCCAATTTAGAGTTCTTATTGAAATATTTAGCACCATATTTAAAAGTCTACATTTTTGTCGACCATAAATTTACTCTCATGCGGCAATATATATTATAAACTATAAACTCAGAATGGAATACTATATTTTACCTAGTTTTTTTTTTTTGAGAAATAGAAGTGTTTACTTCTATATTTATCTCCCAGTTTTAACAACTACTGTAGCTTTACTGAGCTACATTTCAGTTTGCAAAGAAAGAGTGGACAGTGGATTATTCTCATGTATGTCATTCCAGAGCAAAACTCAGAGGTAGGCTTCACAGGGTCCGCTGTTAGAGAAGCACGCACAGTCCCTGCTTCTTGGATGCTGCCAGTTTAAAGAGCCAGCTATCAGGAGGGAATACACAGAGCTCAGAAAAAGCAGCTCGTTTACCCAAGGCTGCTCACCAGGCAAGTGGCAGAGATAGGAGGAGGCCCACCTTTTCTGCTACTATATTATTTCTGCTGAACAGTATTCCCAGATTTTTTTCTTTTTTTGATTCTGTCATATAAAGAAGAGAAGGTCAGCAGACAGAGTCTGTGGTTGGTGCATGACGTGTGAAAACAGATAGATTAAACTGGGCTAACCATGATCATCTTGCCACAGCTTCAAACAGGGCCCTCAACTACCACCTGCAAACAACTCAGCTTCTACAAATATTTGGAGGAATCTCCTGGTTCCTTTGCACTTAACTATGTTTTTCCTTTCCAAAATTGTCAATGGCAAGCAACAAACACCGCACACAGAATGAATAAGATCGTAGTGTTAAATTAGAGCCAAGTCCTGCATTCTAAGGTAGTTCCTCAGGAAACCTTATTTTGTCCTATAAAGACTAACCTTATTTATAAAGAGATAAAAATTAAAAAATTGCAGCAATTGACGCCCCCATCACTGACCCATTTGTGCATCTAGCCCAAAGAGCCCAATCCAAACCCCAGCCAGACAACACAAATAAAAATATGCTCAGTGACCCTTGCAGTGACACACCAGCCACAATTCCTGTAGCTCTGCTTAGCCAACTCATTCCCACGGCAATATCGCTGACTATTGAATTATTTCAGCTTTTAGGGTCATGTTTCTACTGGCTTGAGATGTTTAACTGACTGTTCAGCTCTACCTGACAACTCCCAGAAATCAGTATTATTCTGCATGAACAGAGATTGCACAGGGGGCTATCCTTGAGGTGTAGGTTACAACTCCATAGTTAAAGTCACAGTGAGTTCAAATATACTTAAAGTATGTTCTCTGTCAGAAAATGGCTGGCTCTTTCAGAGCCCCAGATCCAAATTCCTGCGTTCCCAAGCAAGTACTTCCCTGTGGACACAGACCACTTGTCATCCAGCTGATGAAGGCAGGCAGGGAGCACGCGTGTGTTTTACAGCATAGTGCAGAAAGACCTGTGGGGGACAAACCCTGAAAGTCTACTGTGGGCAGAGATATAACTTTGTTTTGATGTTACCTTTGAGGAACGCAGTTGTGCCCACACTTTGGTGGACTTAGGAACACCTCTGAAAACAGCCATATGGCTTGAGCATACTTTCGACTCTCCAGCATCAGTGAGTCTTACCAAAGTCTTGAAAAGAAAGCTAGTTTCATGCAAAAAAACTGTTAAAATATTATTTTAAGCCCTAGGTAAAGCCTGTTATAATTTCTATTACGAACAAAACTGAATAATGAAATCATCAGTTCAAGCAAAGAATTGTTAATACGAAGTAATGAAGTAAAAATAATGCTCAGTTCCTCAGCTGAGCGCAAGCAAGGTTCAGAAATGAACCTGGAGACTGTAAGATAAAGAACAAGGCTGATTCTCAGCCATGTAAGGCTGTGCCCATGCAATGGTAAATTTTACCAATGCTTGTCTTATTTAGGTGTCCTGGGTAGATAGGATAGGAGCCTTAAGTCTCTTTGATTTAGAAAACTGAGTCATACTGAAATATGAGGCTCCTAATATCTCTGTGAAACCTCAGTAGCATATTCTTGAATGCGTAACACATCATAGCTTAAAACTCTCAGCTTCTCTTTCCTGGCAGGCTAGGTCATTGCGAAAGTCTTTTACAAAACAGTTGATAAATGAAGTTTAAGGCAGTATTCGGTAGAAATCTGGACATGAACATACAATCCCTTTTACAAATGCACTCTTTTCATGACTTCAAAGATCTTTTAGGAAAAAAAAAGAAAAAAAGAAAAAAAAACAAGCACTAGACAACCAGCCTGACCACGTAATCTGCAAACTTCTACATCTAATACATCTCTGTGCCCCAGGCCAACTTACTATTTTTACATCAACCCAGGCAAAGGGTTGTTTAACATGTGCCCAAAAAACTTAACTGAAGAGAAATTGTATGGCCTCCCTAGCACTGTATTCCATCACCTATTACTGTTAGAAAGTTTTCTTTGGGACTACACTAAATTTCTCTTAATGTGCTTCAAGCAAGGTTTTTTTTTGTCCTATCCCTGGTGAATTTAGAGAACAACATGTGATATCCTTGTTTGCCTTTCTCTTCCTCAAGTATCTTGCAGATATCGCAGACTATTATCAGATCTCCATTCAGCCTTTCGTCTCCTGGATTCAACAGTTTCCTTCAAATTCTCCTTGCACATCATGTTTTCTAGACTTTTATCCATCTCTTGAGCTGCTTTAAACATTGTAGTTAGTCTGTATCTTTTGGTAGCAGAGAACCCAAAATGCTATGAGTAGTCGAGCACCACGATCTTATTAGCACCGGCTGGAGAAGGAAGGGTGATTTCACATGTGTGATTTCCTGTTTGACTATCCCACTCTAAGGTTTGCTGGTAAGACTGGTCAACTGTCAACTGCAATTCTCTCCATGATCTTCATGCCCCCCCTCGTCAGGGGAGCTGCCCACCTAGCTCTTCCCCAACCTGCTGCACAGATGATTGTTCATACCTAACTCTAGCTCTTTTTATTTGTCCTTACAGAATTGCAAACTATTTCTCCCACTCATCAAGCTTATTTTGAACTCTAAAGCCTCTTCCTACAAGCCCTCATACTTAATATAACCTGCAGATTTAATAGAAACTCTATATTTCTTATTTTAAGCCTCTGATGAAAATATTGAGTACCACCAGGCCCTGGGCAGACCACTGCAGAACTCACTTGTTACAGCCTTTCCATTTTGACAGTGAATCATTGATAACTGTTCTCTGAAACTCATTTTCCAATAAGTTTGAACCCACCTAATCATATTTTTATCAAACCAGATTTCCCTGTCTTGCTTACAAGTATCACATGTGACAGTGTCAAAAATTTTAAATCAAGGTATGTGATGTTTCCTGCCTCCTTGTTACAGTAGGAAGCTAAAGGGGTTTGAAGACCCTTTGTTCTGAGGAAATCTATGTTGACTTTTACTCAAGCTCTTATTGACTTTTATGTGCTTTGCAAATAGTTAGCCTGTTTCCCTGCTCAAAACTTCTTTTTAAGCATTTGGGAGCACTACAGAGCTGTGTCCTGAATCACCTCCGTTTTTATCCTGTGTATTAAAAAACACAACTGATATGCATTCCAAAATCATAAAACATCTGAGCTTCAAAAGACAAAACTTTCCAAGGGCAATTTGACAGCCATCTCCACCCAGGAATTAGTAAGTACAGAGATAACTTAAATTTCTTGAACCTCCAACACAACATTGTCAATACTTAATCATCCTGTCATTGCTGTTAATTCTCCCCATTTGTACCTCTCACATGTTCATATACTCATCCCCTGGAACGTCTTTTCCAGTGCTAGATACTGTCTGTCTGCATTCCTCAGATCCAACGCTCTTTTCTTAGGATATATAGTGACCTCCACAGGGTTCCACTGATTTACAGAAGCTGCAGATCCAGAACAAGAGTTATATTATGAAGGGAAGGTATTTTTTATTTATATAGGCAACTGAGGCTGAATTCCCAGGAACAGAATAACAGTTGTTAACTTCACTGAGATTACAGCAGATACCAAAGATGCTCTATAGGCTGAAACAGTGGCTGCATATCAGTTGGATATACTAGTTAAAACTCAGCAGCTAAACGCCTGAAGTCCTATTTTGCCTACAACTACACGTTGATTTATATAATGCTGAATTTAATGAATTTGACAGTTATACCATTTGCTAATATTTTTACAGTACAGCTACCACTGTGCTCTGCCTTTACTCATTGCATTTAACGTCTTTTATAAAACATTCAGTACATACAAACAGCATTTTTATCTCTTCATTACTTAGCACACATAGGATCTTACCTTACAGTAAATTTGCTTCAGAACAGATTGTGATCTGAAGGAAGCAACGGTAATACAAACTTCAGGAAAAAGCTCCTTTTTCATGTTAAATGTTTCAGTGCCATTTGTTTTCTAAATCTAAAAAAAAAAAAGTTGCTCATTGCAACAAAAGTATCAAGAACATTAATCCTATAATACTTTTAAACCAAAAAATGTAATTTATCACTCTGTGAATGGGAGGCAGAGTATATATAGTTCATATAATATATATATATGTATTTATTTGCACCACAAATCATAAGGGCCATACTCCAATCATCTCTCAGATGCTATGGTGAGGAGGTGAATGAAGAACCTGTATAAACCTGTATACACAGAATTTCATTGTGGAACCACTAAACAAATTGCATAAAATATTTCTTTGGCACACATCCAGGCACCTGATTTTATTAATAAGAGGAATATGCATCAAATATAGCTGTCATTGACATGCAGTCAGCCTCAGTGGATGCATTTCACTGAATTACAGGTTCAAGCCTCTTGTCCTGAGAAAGAAAAAAATTTAAAGAAAAGAACAAAACTAAAGAAGTGAAAACAATTAAACATTTCTTACAGCAATATTCTCCATGCAGGAAGATAGCACTGCACTTATCGGACTGATCTTTAAATTGCAAGGTAAGACTAAAACTTTCTTTTCTAGCAGCTTGCAATTATTCTTTCTCAGCAGTAATCAGTGAAGTGTAATTAAAGTCTACCATACATGGCCTGAAATCTGGATATTATTCAAATATAACTAAAGTGCTGACGTGCTTTTGTTTTAGTACATCTTAAAGGCTTGAAGAATTTGAGCAAAGCTACGTTGCCACTTAGTATATAGAGATGCATCTAAAGAGTAAACCTGCTCATTTCTAAAATTCCCAAGTGATTGGGAGAGGGAGCAGAAATACTAGTATTTTTTTTACACCAATTACACTAAGCACACTATTCAAGTGTGTCCATACTGTCTCCAGCATTGCGCAGCAGAGACTGTAACGAACCATGAGACGCCGTGAAAGGGGGAAGCCTGGCCTATAGGAGAGACTGGAGCTGGAAACACCTGCAGTTCATTGCCCTCTGGTAAAACAGCAGCATTTCAAAATCTCATCATTTGTCAACACATGAAACCTGAAAACATTTTTGAGTGATTTTGGGGGAAAAAAAAATCTCCTGTTATTTTCATGTAAATTCTAGCGGAAAAGAAAATCCTGGAGTTTTGTTCAGATCACACTCTCAACGCTACAGAGGGATAGAGAGGTGGTATCGCGGCTAAGAAGCTCCTGCCTGATAAAATGCTGCAAGATAGACGGTCTGCGTGTACATCCTCTGGCTGCTCAGTTGCTTCGAGAGAACACTGATGAGCGTCTGCTGAAGGATGACACTTGTTCATTTTAGTCACATATTTTCATATTTATCCTGGCTATCTGCCCAGGATTCAAATATAGGGTCAATTACATCTTTCTCACTCTACTTACGCTTCAAACCTGACGGCCTGGAAGGTAGACAGCGGCTGCAACTGCATTTTGGGGAATCTGCAACCGCAGATTTGTGGGGAATGGGAATATCACTGGCTACACCCAACCTCCCCCACAAGGGATGCAAAAAACAAACCTCCGTCACTTTGGAGAGCTGTGCGTTCCCCTCTGGGCAACCCAAATCTAGGTGACCTTAATTCAAAGGCATGGCCTGAGGACTACTTGCCCACTGTCAGGGCAGCAGTTTTTACAGAACTTTTGTTCCCGTACCATGTCTAAACAGAGCGTTTAGGCTAGGATTTTCTATGGGATTCAAGCTACTAATGCCCTTAGGCTCCTTGGAAAATTCCCCTCTCAGCTCTTGACATTTACAAAATTGATTTCATATCATTCATCTCATGAGTTTTGCAGAGCCCTCCCCCCTCCCTTTTTTTTGGGGGGGAGGGGAAGATGCTGTATACTAAACTATCAAAATCATCTTGCAAACTCTGTCAGTTCTGCCTCATTACTCTGTGCAGGAGTATTTGGAGCAGATACTGTACACTGTGTATCCAAAATTAATAGGAGTCAAGAGTTAAGAGGGGTTTTATAACCTATGATTAAAACTTCCTAAATGTTAGCAATGCAGTATATGAAATCAGTACTGCTAAACTCATCTTTTTCGACAAAAATGAAAATTGGTGCTAAGTAGCTATGACACCCCTGTTTTGAAAAACACATTTACTCTCTTGGGGGAAGGGGGTGAGACTTGTGAACCATAAAAATAGACACTAATTTGAAGTATTTTATTGACACAGTCTTTTTAGAATATTTAATACAAATGCACAGAGATATATTCAGCCCTAACTGTAATCTGCTAACAGCCTTTTTTTTTTTTTTTCTTCTTACCGATCTGCAGATGACGGAAGATATCCTTGTATTTTTTATATTGCCTATTTGCCCATGATGCTGATATGAAGTAAATAACATCTTTTCTCACATGACACTATCAATCACTGTTCTTGCAACGCAGGCTTTAATCAACTTTTATTAATTAAGCAAGAGACCAAATTTTCTGCCTGGTAGTATCGCTTCGAAGTCTGGGATCAAAAAGCTCTGATGGCTTAAAAGATCAGAGAAAAAGCTATTAAAGATAATAACTACAACTGCTGCATACAAATACAATTTAAAAGTTCCTTTGGAACCGCTAGTGGAATCAGTCTCGCATGGCAGGAACTGCACGACTCAGTTTGCTGTTGCTGGGTCTTCTACATTTGTTTTATTTTTGTCCAAGACTGATTTCCAAACCTTAGCATGTCTGGTCATCAGGGACATATCTGAGTGGAGACAAACTAGAAAGGTTTTGGAATTGAATGCCACACCAAGGCAGGCAGAGGATGGTGGCTGGTGCCGTGATGAATCTGAATAAGCCTTTTTGTGAGACAACGCCTTCCTAGATACTAGTAGCATGCACAGCTGGGTTTCTTACATATTTCCTTAGGGATATTTAATTGAATAAACTTGCACAGAATTTTGTTGATACAGTTTTAGAACTTACTTCTTCAAGCAGGGTCTGTAATCGCTTTTAACTGATATTGCAAACTTCCAGCAGGTTTACAAGTAAGTTGCATTCATTGATACATTTAAGTAAACTCAACGAGTTTCTAAATACTTGGTCTGCAAGTAATACACTATTTCCCAAACACTTCTTTCGTGAATCTTAAATGAATGCCCTGATTACCAAAATGTTTGACCAGGGGATTTTCCTGTGCATTTACAAGAGTGTTAAGAGACACAATGAGACAGCTGAGCGCAAATAAACTGAAACATTTCAGAAACTTTGAGTTTTCGGTTTTCATGTGTTGACCACCATTCTCTACCTGAAATGCATTTCTTAATACTGTTAAATCTCTTATTTGATTATTTATAGACTAAATGCTTCATGCCAAGGATTACTGCTGTATATGAATTATGAAAAATCTGTACCATTAGCTAGCTCTATTAATGAAATGACTGGCATATGCAATTGTTTATTTGGTACTCATCTTAAATCTATGTGCTCTCATGATAACACTCAATGGCTCTCCACCTTTTTGTCACCTGGAATTTAACCTAACACTTTACTCATGCCATAGGCAATGCAAAGTATGTCCTTTCTCCCTCTCTGTCTAGCCAGCGGTGGTTCTCTGTAGCTTTATAATGCCTCTTTAAATTCACTCTCCCTGACATTTCACTGTTCTTTACTACAGTTGTCTCATGAAAATATCCTCTCAGGAACATCGTCTGAAATGTATATTGTTTCATACCTTTTCATTAAAAAGTGATGGCAGATGTAGTGTAACATAGTGACTATCCATGACATAGGCATCACAGTAGTCACTTATATTCCAAGAATGCCCAGTAATATTAAAATCTTCAATAGAAAAATTCCAAGGCCAAAAGATATACTCTATTATACTACCTGATTAGCTCTTTCTCTTCCTAGAGAAAGATATGTTCCCTTAGTCTGTGGAGTCCATTTGTGAATGAAATTGAAAGCTAACTGACCTTCTGATTTAGGGCACGTGTGAAAAAAGGAAATCTTCAGAGTGTTCTCTAGTCTGCTCTGTCCCACTCCTGAACCTCAGCCCTACAGACACGCACAGAGACACACACAGTTAGTGTGATGATAAATCCTCATCTGCTGACACCGATGTTAAAATTCACATTTTCACAGGAGAAGAATCTGTATGTGCCTGAGATTCATGCAGAGGTTCTGCAGGAAATGAGGTAATTTTGCTATAAATTTGTTCTTTCAAAGTACTTTTGCAACTGTCCCTTGAGATCTTACACTCAGATCCTTCTACCACCTCAACATGACTCCACGTCTGTTCTGCTTTAACCTCCTCTTCTTCAGGCTACCCTATATTGCACTAACTTACCTTCATCTACAAAGATATTTGTACAGCCAAAGGCTTACCACAACAAAAAAAAAGTACCCATATCACCCACAGCTTCGTGAGCCTACCTCTTATGCAAAGCAAACTCACCTTTTCCATGAGTAGCCAAGCTCACTCCTTTCAAAACTTCTGTATCCGACAGTGACTTGCTCTGGTGCTCAACTCTGAATTTAGCAGTCTGTCAAAACATCATGTTTGAAAAATTGGCTATAGACAGAAAACATTCCAGTTCAAGACAATATTTTTAATTTTTTTGTTGCATGTAAATCATTAGAAAAATGATTTCTAAAATAGCATTAATAAAATCACAGAAATATCCTGCAAAAAGTGAAATAAGCTCCTGCAATTTGATACTAGATTAACAACTCTTAATAAACTTATACAAAGTTAGCCACTCAGTGCTATTCTCTCTCAGTATCCCCAGAGCAATTAAAATTCAGTGCGCTACAGAATCCTTCTAATGATCTGGCAAGGTCTCTTTTGGAACCATGTGCACAGTATTAATATCAGAACATTATATAAGAGCCTTTCATTCCTACTGCAGCAGGTTCATCGGTCCTTCAAACAAAATGACTCACCAAGAGACCCACCCATTAGATCTCAGATGTTAATAAAAAAGTGGTGCTTCCAGTGACTTTGAAGTCACTCCATGGAGACGACATAATGTGAAAAATCGTTAGAATATCAATGCAATGTATGAACAGTCTGATGCTACAGATTAGATTAAAGAGTTGTGAGTACTGCAGTTGTGACAGCTAAAATAAGCATTGCTTTTCTTTGCATGCAGAAACATGCTGCGTGGTCACAGAACTCCAACATGTCATTTTTCAATTCCTTTTTGGAAGAAGACAAAATAATTCACAAACGTGCTCATTTTATCTGCCCTTCCAGCAGCTGCTCTGTATGTACAGCAATTACTTTTCTAATATTAAAGTGCTCAAAGCAAAATTCATCAGTACGTATCAGTTCTTTTTAAAGTAGTTTTGGAGAAAACAGTTATTGAAATGGATGTGAAACCACCAAAGCCATCATTAAAAACAAACTTTAAGACTAAAATAGTTTCAGAAAAATAATTTTTAACAACCCTATTCTTGTCAGGACATATTACTTGTGTACTAGCATTTGCTGTGACTGGATAACTGTGGCTATATTTCATGGTTTTGTTTACAGTCATTTACTACCTAAAGTACTCCACAGTTATCATAAAAAAAAACATAGCCCTTATGTGAAGAACATCTTATCTCTCAGCTCAGCTCATTGGAAGCCTGAGATGTTCTCAGGCGTCTGTGACAAAGGAGTGACTTTCTAGTAGCCTAAAACCTCAAGACACTTTTGTTCCCTAACAAGATAATACGTAAAACAGGGAAGTGCTTGAAAACAAAAGCCAGACCTTAATCTGCCAGTGGTAAAGGAAGAAGCCACAACCTCTGAAAGGAGCTGGATGTATAATTAGCCCAACCCATGCTTCACTGGCACTGCAGCTCCTTAGCTCCTAATATAGGGATAAGTACCAAGAAAGTTAAGAACATTTATTTCCCAGTGAGAACTATGACTGAATTGAAGAATCAAGGCAGGAATTTCCAAATAGTTCAACCCCCTCCATAGTAATATATAAGGAAGCACATTTTTTGATTTGTTGTTGTTTTTTCCTTTAAACAGCATACTCATCGGTACATGTAGGCTTACTACAGCTCTGAAGGTCTAGCTTATCAAAGACTGAGGTCTATGGTGTATGGCTACATACTCCACAGAGTGTGCAACTCCATAGTGTTCCAGAATCTAGCAGCTTCTAAATGCACAGCAGGAAAGAGTCATTTGCTATTTCCATGCTATAAATCATGCTAAAAAACTTTAGTGTTCAGTCATACTCCAAGAGAAGATACACAAGCGATGACTTGTTGATGCCTGACCCTAGATAGAAAGCTAAAGGAAGTATTTAAGAACTTTTTAGTTCCCCAAAATAAGCTGTAAAATAATCTGGAGAATCATACATAACCATTTCAGGCTTTGCCAGGCTTATTGAAGTAGCTTTTGGTAAAGGTAGCATTTTCTGAAGGGACTGTTGTTCTAGTTTTGGAATTCATTGAAAAATGGCTCCTTTTGTTCCATGCCTATAGCCTGATTTAAATAGGAAGATACCTCAGGTGTATCACTTGAAGAACAGAAAAGGTAAGTGAATTCCACAGTATTATATAGTAAGTCTATGGCAAAACCAGAAATTGAATCACAGTATTCAAACCTCAGGAAAACTGTCCCACCTGTAAACAGATAAGCCAGCCACACTGTCCCTGAAAGGACAGTGTTTGTGAGGATGGACTCTTGGAGCTGTCTCTCTTTAACCGATTCAGACTCACAAGCCCACGGGTCCAGCTTTTCCTGTTTCATCTAGACCATATCCATCTAATCCCCTGAGCACTCAGCCCAGTCTCTGCACGATTCAGCAGCAGCACTGTGATTTTGTAAGCTTTAAAGCTACGTGCTTTCAGTAACATAGTCTCTCTCCATGAAATCAGAGTACGGGCAGACTTTCCGTAGGATCCAGCAGATCAAACCACAGAACATATTTTAAATAACAAAGATCTAAGGCTGCTGTGCACACGGCCAGAATACTGATGCAAGAGCAGCAGCATAAAAAAAACTTCCCAGTTTCGTATGTGGAGAATGTCTTAAAAAATAAACCATAGCCCAGAGAAAAGTTTTTCATTACATTCAATTTAGTCCCACAGAAACATGAATTAGAAAACATTTTGGAAGCTACTTAAGTGATAGCTCTTCTTTCTCTGCATTTCAGGTAAAAATGAGACCAATCTCTGCCCTGAATATTTATATTTTCCCTAACAACTCTATCCTTTACTCAACTTTAAAAAACGTTCATTTAACTATAGAAAAATGCATTTTTATATCTTTAAAATTTAAAATCTCTCTTCCCGTCATTTGATCTCTCCTCATTTAAAATATAAACTTTTTAGGACAAGGATGTTCTCTTCCCACCTATGATCAATGTCTAGCATAACAGACCCAAGATCTCCACTAAAAGAAGAAAAATATTAAATAAGAACACTAGCACCACACGAGTGGGGTGGCATACAAGCCACACAAACAGCAGTAATTTATATGACCTCTTCTGCCGATACCGTTAGCTCAGTTCTCACCCTTCTCTCTCTTCTCTGCAGGGACCTTCAGAAGAAGTTATTCATCTCCTACATGTAAAAAAATTGAGCTTCACTCAAATCCATCAGGGGATCTGTGAAAGTTTGTCACAGATTATGTGTTGATGTTGGCACGGTTACTTAGAGGGTACATTATTGATAAAAGTTAAATATTTAATCTTTCTTCACTGTCTCTAAACAAAACTGGCATTTACCTACCAGGAGGCTGAAAGTTCAGCCTTTTCAATATTGTAGCAAGGACACATGCTGGTAATTTCCCTCAGAAGAAAATAAATAACACATCCTCTCTGCAGCTGTGACAGACGAAAAGTCACAGCGTTTACTGTCTGGAAGTCCAGAGAGGTCCTGGGCTGGCACGGAGGACCACGTGTGCCTCGCTGGGGGTGCAGCAACAGATACACCAAAGCAGATGGAGTGACTGCTTCAAACCTGCCTCTCTGTCTCTCTTAGAAGCCAAGTCCAACCCATTCGATTAGCTGAATGCAGGTGTTTGAGTGTGTTTGTGATTTAATTATTCATAACATCAGCTTCATATTTTATGGATTATTCTGCATCAGTTCTGGTACTTGCCTCATGCATTATGCATGCACCTGAATCTGTTCTGGGGGGGGTGAAGCATAAGAGACAAAGTATGCTGCTCACCTGTGTGCTTCTGATTACCAAGGAACACCTCTCACCCAGAGATGAATCGAATTCCAGTTGTGTACTCCTTTGTCCTGTAAATGCACTTTGAATTTTCCCAAACAAATGAAAGGTGGGTTTTTTTCCTCTTTTCCTTCACCCAAACTCTTCTAATTTGACTTTTATGGTTATGGCTTATAACAAAACATCTTCCATTACAAAAGTTTTTTTTTCTGGTTACCAGTGTTCCAGCTCAGAAGCACTGTCTCCTAAAAATTATAGCAAAGGCCTCTTAAAATAAGTATCTCTGAAAGATGCAAATTCATCAAGTATCAAGGCTCAAAACACAGGACAATGCATAATAAATTGCTGTTAAACTGTACTAGGAGGCAGAGAAGGCAAGGATGTAATCTGTTTTGATCATGCTAATACAGCTCACTGCAGAGAAGACATGACAACTTATTGGCAAATTTCCGTAGAAACCCAAGCAAGAGTTGTGGAGGGAGTTAATTGCTAATTGGTTCATTGTGTCACATATCTCATTAGCAATCCTGCATTCCTTGGTTCTCTTTTCAAATGTAAATCTACGCCAGACCCTTTTTCCCAACAGACTGAATTTTTCAAAGATGATGTGGAGCAAAGGGACTGTAGAGTTGTCCTAATCGAGGAGGAAACAGCTTTATGGCACAGGGAGAGCTCAGCTGGGATTGGGGACACACTGGTATGGGCAGGCTGTTGCTGCAGCCATGTTCCTCCTTGCTGGCATGAAACAAGCTCAGAGAGCGCTGTCACCTCCTGAAAGTCAAAGCCACCTCCTCTAATTGTCACTCGGGGCTGGCTCTGACTTCACGTGGTGCCTGGTGCCAGGCGCTGCACACGGGGCCATCCACCAAGTGAGCTCAGTGCAGCCACTGCGAGCAGCCCACTGGAGACCCCTGGCCACTGCCTGAAGCCCAGGGGCAAGGATGGGGGAAGAGGGCATCTAACACAGTTCACTTCAAACTGTTCAAAAGAGGTTGGCAGGTTGGTTTTTTTTTTATTTTTTGTTTTTTTTCCCTTTCATAAAACCTTCAACAGTTTCTCACCTGGAGCAGGAAACTTGACAGGTAGAAGTTTCAGATATGCCCAAATGATTTAAGAGCCTAAAGACGTGTGCTGACAAAGCCCTGTCCAAGAGGTACCAGTAAACGAGGGATTTACCTCCAGCACAGCGCTGTGCCACCTCAGCTGTCCTGTGCTGCAGCAGTGGGTGCCAGCCCGGGGTCCTGCTCTGCTCCGTGCTAGCTCGGGGGGTTGGCATCACGCTCCACCACCTGCAATCTGACATCACGCAAATCCCCCAATTCTGAACTCCGTTTGGAAAAGGGGACTTGGGGATTTAGACCACGAAAGCCGCTGTGAAAGAGCTACTCTGAAAGCAACAAAACCTGAAGTTCTTCAGCTACTCTGACAAGGCTGCGGAGGAAACCGCTTCCTAGGCAGTTCCTAACAGCGCTCGTTGATCGTAAGCGTTTCTGAGCCTGTCTGTCCACCCTGGCTGCCCGCGACAAATGTGCTCTGCCTGGCTATTCTCACTCTGCCTCTTGTGCAGAGAGCCCCACGGCGAGGTGAGCCTGGCTCAGACATCCCCGTGGAGGGTGGGGAGCTCGTACCCGGCACGGCAGCCCGCAGGGGAGCAGTGCAGGAGCCGGTGGGTGACTTGACTAAAGCCAAGCCTGGAAACACAGACCTTCCCACAAGGACACAGTGAGCAGCAGAGATTGTTCATAAAGTCTTTTCATTTCTATTCTGCCTTGCCCAATCAGTTCATTTACAAAAATAACTCTTCTAGTCTATCTTAAGAAGATAATTATTTGTAATTTAATAACTATATTAAAATAAAGATTGCTGTTTCAACGTAAAAGTCTTCTGTGGGAGCTCCCTGATAGGGGAAAAGTCTGGACAGATTCAGCTCAGAGCATGAGCTGACCACAAGAGCTTGCTTTGTCCTAGACCACCTCCTTTTGGAACCAGCAGCCAAGCCACTGCGTTTATAGCACCTTACCTTTTGCTCAGGACCCTCAGGCCCCAGCATGGCACGAGCTAACAGGCACTGATGGTTCTTCTCATGGTGTCACTGCCTCTTAAGGTCTCACTTCATGACATCACGTGATGACTTAACAATCTTTGCTTACTTTTTCAAGGTTTCCGGAAAACAAAATAAAGCTTGGTATCAGGAATAAACGAGGCTGCAAAGGCAGTGGACACATTAAAAGAAAAAAAAAATCCCAGACTGCATCATTTCTTAAGTGGAGCTACTTTTTGATGCTTGGGGTCAGAAAGATGGGACAATAGTGGCAAGCCCATTCATTGCTAGCTGGCTGGCTGAAAAACTGGAAAGTGAGCACCGTTGGCAGCAGCCCCATGGCTATCCCACATGAAGAGTGAGAAAGGGCACCGCTACCTGCAAGTCCTCCACACAAAGCTGGTATGTGCCGTGTAAACGCTGGTGAGGAAAGAGGAGCGTTGAGGGGCTCACTCAGGGACAGTACAGAGATCTAGCTCAGAGCCCCTCGCTCAAAACCAGGGCCAGCGGGCCACCCACCAAGGGCGGCCACGGACTGTCAGCAATGTCCCTGGAAACACAAAAACATTATTTTCAAGGAAAATAGCAGAAATAGCTGTAGTAGAGGCTGTCCCAGAAAAGGATTCTTAAGTCATACAGAAATACTTTAAGAAAAGCATAACAAAATAACGCACATAGATTTAATTAGTAGCCTCCTGCGTTCTTAGCAATTGTTTAGTCTTATAATTTGGCTAATTATAACCAGGTGACATCAGCCCTTGGTCCAGGTAGACACTAATCAGCATCCTACAATCAAAATACTGTGGGTACTTAACATGGAGAGAGCAGCCTCTGATCTCTGGGTCTTACTGTCCGCCGCTGCCTGCAGCAGGAACGTTAGCTGTCTGCAGTGAGCAGCCTACCAGGTTTTCTCCACTACCCTAGCTCGTCTCTAGACAGGGTTTGGAGAAAACGTAGCTATTGTTTGTGCCTGCAAACCATGAGCAAACTTTGTCACCCAGCAAATTTCAGGCCCTATTTTTAATCCATGTCAGCTTTAATGTACTAAAAATACCTTACCTGCCTTCTCTACTCACATTCCCCTATTTGTCAGGTGATCCTCAGCAAGGCTTCACTAAATGATGAGTTTTTTCCAATCGCGCTTAGCGGACATAAACATAAAAATAAATCTGTCCTTTTACTCATGGGAGATAAGACGAAATACCCTCCTTCATCCCCTTGCCAGAGTGCAATTGTTTGCTGTTACACGTCTGTTTGTAAACGTGCCCAGTCCTACTCTACAGGTGGCAAGGGCAGCACCAGTCACCATCAGGCACAACTCCCTACAACGACAGCTGCAACCTCCGCCACTGTCGGCAGCACCATGGGACACAGCCTGCTCCCATCCTTCCCGGGCAACCCAGCTCTCTCTCACTCAACTAAATTGCAAATTTTGCCATTCATGTATTCTCCAGTGCTTGCAGATATTCCCACCCTATGAGCTTTGAGTTTCGGCAGCCAGCTACGCTATTTAGCTGTCATTTGCCTTCCTATTGCTTTGAACTGTGCTTCATTTGGCTTCTAGACATTAATCAGTCCAGTCCAATCCAATACCTGAAAATCCAAGCCAAGCGGCCACTGTACTTTTTTTGTCTGGACTACAGACTTCCTAACCTTCACAGGCCTGATTTAAAATACATCCATGGCTTTTCAGCAAAACTGGTGATATTTATGCACAAGCCCAAAGCTAAACATGTGTTTAAGTGTTTTGCTTAATAGGGTTTGATACGTGTTTGTGGCTAGGGAGAGCCTGTTAAGTTGAGTATTTTGTATATGCTTTAGAAGAATATGACTACCTCTAAGTGACAAGACCTAGGATCCTACCAGATAAACTTGCTCCCAGAAGTCCATCTGAAGTGGATGTTTTCTTCCCAAATTTTCTAGTAGCTGGCAAAAGCACTGTGTGCCAGCAGAAAGCCGAGATTTATGCTGAGAAAAATGACATCTGAGGAAACAATTTTTGTTAGGCTTCATCTCTTAATTAAGCCTGAAGTTCCCGTAATACAGAGGAACAAAAAGTACAAGGAGCAAACGAGACTCAGGACAAAAAACATTTGCCATTTGAGGAGTTCATTTTACCCAGTGATTGCTTGCAGCCAGACTCGGTGGGAGTACCTGGGTGAACACAAGCCTCTCCGTCACTCAGCAAGGGATTCATAAGCTGTCATTTAGCTCTTGCTAACCTGTCCAAAACAAACTCTTCAATAAAAAGGAGGCAGTTAAGGAAAGGCGGCTGTGACTCAGACCATCACTTTAAAAGGCCATGTTGATTTTCTTATTAATCCTACCAAGCAAGAATTTATTTATTTTTTTATATACAATTAGCTTCTTTCTTCATTTCTTCATTAAACATTAAATCTTCATTTATATAATTGCATAATGCAACAATGGTACCTGCAGTATTAATTATGCCATCTTAATTAGCTAGCCGAATGTTCCCAATTCTCATTTTAACCCAATTAGCACATTCTGAGGCTTGAGCTGCATACTCATTACCATGCAAATGTTTCCATAGAGCCAACGCCTGCTCCAGAGTCTGCCCAAGTGAATGAAGAGATTATCACAGAGTTCAGTGAGTTTGGAGAGGACGTTTCTCTTCTCAGATTTGAGGTTTCAGGTTCCTGCCTTTCTAGATAAGATGAACTGTTTCTTAACCCTTCTGTAGCCAACTTAGATACAGCAAGTAGTAAATATCCTACATCTAGATTTACAGAGCACTTTTTATCTCTGAAGTGTTTTGCAAGCATTAACCACACAGTCATTAAATATTGATATTTGCATGACTAATACTCTGTTGTTGCATTATATAAGAAGAAGAAAGATACAAATGTTGGCAGAAATAATACGCCTTGGAAACAAGCCATGGATTTGTGGATAGTAACTCAGAAACTGAGTTACTGTTACCTGAAACTTGTGTTTCAGATATGCACCTCTTAAAAATCTAGCACCTTTGGAAATAGAAACTGTGGATAAAGTGATCCTGGTGCAGTATCCTCAATATCATTTTAGCACTCTCCTATTTTTCAGATGGCATAAAATTAAAACATTATGCCCAGAAAGACCGTTTTCTGGACCAAGCATTCTTTCTGAGGACTTGTGCAGCACCGAGTCTGATGGATCTCAGATCAGCGTCCTGGCTTGGGGAGGGGGTTCACAACCCCTCATCTGCATCATATCTATAATCTATACACATTTTTCATCTCCTTGACTTTACTCATTTCCTGTATGCTGTATTTTGTGACTTCAGACTTTTTTTTTTGTAAAGACAGTTGCTGACAGGAACAATATACATATATCAAAAATATTCTCCATTCAGCTAATAAGTTTCTTGCTCGTTACTTAGCAAAGACAATACTTAACTGCACCAATTAGGCAAAGTGCAAAGAGCATGTCCTTAGGTGATATAAATCAGTACCACTTCAACAAAGTTATACCTGTTTACAGCAGCTGAGGATAGGGTCCCAGAGAGTCTCCTTGTTATTTCTCTCTATGTTATACCTCTCTGCTAGGCTAAGAAGAGACTGGTTTCCACTAGTACAGTTCCTGCAGGACTGACATAGAGGTAACAGATGAAACCCAGGAAGAATCTACTTGACCTGGCCTTTATCTGGCTTCTTTCCACTGCTTCTAGTACTCCTCCCAAAATTCAGCATATGAAGAACATGTTTCAGATAATTACCTCTTGAAGAGAAGCAATTAAAATTTTTTTAAATTGTTTTTCAAAACTCCTTGGAAAGATTGTTAATTGTGAAATATGTGCAATTGTGCTGGTATTTTTAATACTTGACTAGAAGGAAAATCATTCCCTCCTCTTCTCAATAGCTTTATAATAGATTCTTAAGCTAGTAAGAGCTAAAGAAAGGAGGAAAGAGAAGAAAAAAACCATAGATTTAAAGCTTATTTAGATATCAGCTCATTGAGTGTTTCTATCAGAAGTGATTTAGATTTTTTGTTGCACTGGGTCTATAAGTAGCTTTGGCACAACTATCTTTCCTTTCTTCAAAGAGTTTAGCTTCACCTAAGTTTATCTGCCAGTCTCTGGGGGAACTGGACAGAGGAGAGGGGTCTCTGAGGCAGCCCTCCTTCCATTTCAGTTGTTCTTTGGGAATATTCCAGATGCACTATTTAGCCTACTCCGGGACAAGATATATTCAGCTTGGAGTGCCCTAGGATGAGGTGCTACAAGGAACTGCCCTCCAATCTACCCCTAACCTGCCCAGACCCTCTTCCCGAAGAAAGGTGGTGGAAAGCCATCCTATCTGATCCAGAGCTCGCTGTCCACTGGGCAAGCTCGCAGGTGTCTCACTCAGCTTTGGGGCTGCTTAAATGGCAAGTCCCCATTACCATGAGGCCATGTAACATGTGGAATGCTTCACACAACAAAATAAAGATGGTTTTTGTGTTATTTCTAACAAACTCACTAGCTTCTCTGTTCTTATGCACTGACCCTAAACACATCCTCAAATTTCTGGATAGAGGTAATAACACATTTTCGTGGTTATAATGAACCACAAAAACGTGGCCTAGCTAGTAGGGGCTAGACACAGCCATTAAAACAGTCCTGGAGAGGGATGGTAGCCACGATGTAGTAATCCTGTGACACATTAATCTTCAGATATCCTCTGCTGTAAAATTCTTACCCTTTTTTCTTTCCTTTTTCTTTCTTTTCCTTTCTT